AATGAATGAATGAATGAATGAATGAATGAATGAATGAATGAATGAATGAATGAATGAATGAATGAATGAATGAATGAATGAATGAATGAATGAATTCTGCCTTTGATCTCTGAGATTAAAGTCAAAATTCTAAGATTAAAGTCAGGTTCTTTTTTCCCTCAGTGGCCCTAAACCTCTTTCATAGATATGAGTATTTCCATCACTTCATCTTTTCACCTATACTTTTCAAATAAAAATCTGCTTTTTGCTTCAGATTCGTTTTATAAATATTAAAAAAAAAGTACTCTTTTTGTCATCAATGCATGTCCCATACGATGATATAACTTGTGCTACACATTTGACCCATCACTTATGAGAAACACTCAAGAGCTGTTGGGGGATATGGAAGACTTGCTCAAAGACACCACAACATGTGAGCATGGCCGGGAGTTGAACCTTTGATTTTCTGGTTCTAAGTCAGCTGCCCTTCATTACTCCACAGTATGTATATTTAAATTCATAAATATGGATGTATTGTGTATATTTTTTCTAAATAAAGAATATTGTTACATACATTAAACCTTTTGGCTCTGATATTTGGACTTTGGAAGGGATCTGCTGCACATGGTTTTAAATAAAAAATGTGCAGCAGATGGTGGTATAGAGCAACGTAATAGATGCCATAACAGCTAAAAATATTTGAGTGAATACTAGGAATACATTTCAGCTTATTCTCTCAAACACATTTTTTATTTGAATGTAAGCAAATTAGAAAAAAAATGGGGAAAAACATTCTACGTACTTTGTTTAAAAAAACTAGTAGTTTTAAAGCAAAATAAATAATTTACTAACAGTCAACAAAAATGTCAACACAGCAGAATTCAACAAGTTAAGTTTATACAATTTTAAGAAGTTCATCAAGTTATTCATTTGACTAAATTCAATTTTCTAGTTTTGTCAATAATCCCTGATACTAAGACGACCAACAAASCAGGCTGTAAGAAGCAGCAGGTGACATTGGAAAAGACTTGACAGAAATAAACCTCCACAAAGAAAAAAAAATGTATATGAAGCAACATTTGGGTGGACCTTTCACAGTTCATAACCTAATCACCCAATTTGTGTTTTTCAGAATTTAATAAGAAACATTTTAACACTGTAGTTGCTGCTAACATTAAAGATCTGTGGCTACTGCCTAAAGTTTTATCTTTGGCTGCTTTGCTCAGAGGAGATGCAGTCGACTGCATTTTAAAAACATCCATGACAGTATTACCATTGGAAACTGAGCGAGTTTTGATGCAGCTTTATTCACATTTAACAATGGTTCATAAAACAAGGAAACATGTTAACTGATGGTAACAAGTGCAATGACTAAGCATAAGTGTTGCCTCTTTTCCTTGTTTCACAAAATGTGTGAAAAGTATTTCTTCAAATATCAGCCATGTAGCGATATTTATCCTCCAGTTCTTACTTAAGTACACTTTAAGTGAAGTGGAAGAAGAAATTTTGAATGCGAACAGTTTTTTAAACAACTTGAATTATTTTGAGAAATCATGTTCAGAAAATTCAATTTGATGCAACTCTTAAACTAAAGGCCCTGTCCCACTATAACGTTTTAGACAATTTATGCCAACTTATGGACATTTTAATGTTCTAAATTACTAATAGAAGTTCTATATTCGATCAAATTTTTAGCATTACAGTACCTACACACCGAAAAGAAGCTTCCAGTTGATTTTTTTAATTCCATCTTCAACGTAGATGTCTTAAAAAGTTTCATAAGTTGATATAAGTTGTCTAAAACGTTATAGTGTAAGACATATCTCACTGTTCAGTTTTGCCTGACTCTGCAGATATGTGAAAATGTAAAATTTGAGGAGTTGCGAAAGTAATTACGGCTTAGTTGATAAAACAGAAAACTCTAGGTTGAAGAGTTCAGTTTAGTGAAAACTACAGCCGTGTTGATACAGCGGGTAAAATAAGTATTGAACACGTCACCATTTTTCTCAGTAAATATATTACTAGAGGTGCTAATGACATGAAATTTTCACCAGATGTCGGTAAC